CCTTGCAGAGTCCGTGGCAGGCAGGTTGCTTATAGTCCCTTTGCTTTAAGTTATGCCTTGATACTTTCCTCAGGAACACAACTCTTGAACAAATAGCTAGATGCCGTTTTTCCTTTTTTTTCTTTCTTTTTTTTTTTTTTTTTAAAGTTAGGTATGCAGGAGATTACAATACAAGAAGTTCTGGTTTGCATACCTTAGACTTTTCTGATATCAATAATGTACGGTGCTAAAGGTAGGGTACAACCAGGGCATGCCTGTGCATATTTATGCGTGAGAGTCACTAAGCAATTTTTGAGTTTTAGTTCAGATTGCCAATGGAATTACTTTCTGGTAAGGGTAACTATTGCAAGAGCTTATAAACAGTTCTTGGTGTTTTTTCTAGATACATATACATGAATGTAGTTACCCGAATTGTGAATTTCCATTGTTTGCTGGTGCCTGCTGTTACCTGTGTCTTTGTTCCTGTGTGACGCATCTCTTGCTTACCAGCTGCCACTGGCATAGGCAGAGGAATAAAGACAGAGAACTTCTAGCAGGGCAGAAGGACCTGGCGTGACAGATGCAAGGTGCATCTATGCACCTACAGCAGCAGCAACAGCATCTTACAATGTTAAGGCCTGGGAAGGGAGCAGAAGTCCAGTCAAGGACATAGGAGATGTTGTTTTGTCTCCAAAGCATACAGAAACCATTGGATAATAATTTACAAACACAAGTGGAGAGGAGAAGTAAGTAGATGTTGTGGTCTTATTTTTTTGCTTGGACTTAGGAACTTTGAGTTAAGTCCTTTCCACTGATGAGCTTTAAACTGAATGGAGCTGCAGTTTCAAAATGGTTCTGGAACATGAACTGAGAGTGACTGGTTTGTGCTATTCTCATGGAAACAGCAATCCCAAGAGGATGTTTTTCTTCATCAAGAAATATACTTAAACACAGTAAGACTGTACAATAACAACTGAATTAAGTAACATTTGAAACAGAAGCCTAAGATGGATCGTCTGGGGTTTGGGTTTTTTTTTTTCCATTCCTGCAGTGGTTCTAAGACATATATTCTTGGATTTCATGTTCATTTTTTAGAAGTCTGCTTATTTATATTATTCACAGTGCTACTGAATTCTACAGTTGACCTGCATAACTGGGTTTTGTAGACATGACCTACCACCTCCACTTTTAAAATAACTGATTGTTTTAGAATATACTTTATATGCATTTTCAGGAAAGAGAAGATGCAGCACATGCAGATATTGTTCCCAGTTGAATTACTGTGTCAGAGAATTAAATGAAGTATAACTGAAATTGTCTCCTATTACTAAGGTATTGCTGAAATCCTAATGAACCGACCCCACGCGAGAAATTCATTGGGAAAAGTATTTGTAAATGAAGTGAGTATGGGTCTGGCCTGTGAACATATTTGGAATCATGATCAGTAACTAAATGCAATAAGAATAGTTGTGGGAGATCTGAAACAAAAACTTAATCTCTTGCTGAAGGTCAGTGGGAGACTGCATTGGGGCAAGGCGAGTTAGCTTGAAGAAAATGAGATTGCAGTATGTCTATATGGCAGTAACTTTGGGTGTGGACTGGACAGAGATACTGGAGGAATTATTTAAGTTAGCTAACTCTGATGCAAGTTAATGATTTCCTCACTTGCATAATTAAAACAGAAACATACTCATTGTCAGACCTTAGCAAATGATCTGTTCAAGGCTGATACATTCTAGAGAAATGGCTCATGCCTGGACAGGAAGGGGAATTCAAGGTACAGCAAAGGTTCATCTCTGAATGGAAGAAAAAAAGAGATGGGGAAACGTGTCATTCTGAGACTGTCACGGAAGGATCCTGCTGGCTCCACATATATGATTTCCAGAAATTCCTGGCACCTGCAGGGAAAAAAAAAAAGAAAACTTTTATCATAGATTAGGAGCCTGCTATAATTTAGGTATATACACCCATATGCTTAAAGTTTTTCTTCTCTTGTTTGTACTCCCTCCCTCATAGCTGTTCAGCGCTCTGGAACAACTCCGCTTTGATGAGAAGGTTCGTGTGGTAGTGTTCAAGAGTGAGGTGAAAGGTGTATTTTGTGCTGGTAAGTAACAAAGGCTCTGCAAACTATTGTTAAAAAATCTGATGGCTCTTAGGGCTGATCAGATTGTGCAGAAAAGCAGTTGGAAATGCCTGCTAAAAGAAAAACGGGCTGGCTTTTGTGTAGCAAATAACAAACACATCGTTATCTCTTTTGCCTGTCTGCCTCTCTGCTTCAGTGATGAAGACATGTGTGATGGAGTTACTATTTGTTTTCCATTTATAACCATCTTCAAGCACAGGTGCCTCTGGTATTGGAGTCCTTGGTTTCCCGTTTTATGGATTATCGTCCTTACATACAGTGATTGGTGCTCCTTTGTGAAATCTGTTCAAAGGGCACAGAGGAGCACTTTAGCCACTGCTCCAGCCCAAATGTCAACACTCCAGCTTCCACTGACCTTACTTAACCAGAACACTGTATTTCAAGACTTCTGAAGTGGTCTGTTCCCTGGGATGGACAGGAGGGAAGACAGTTCAGATGTTTTTTCCCTGTTCCTGGATTCTAACCTTTTTCTCCTCTATTTAGGTGCAGACTTAAAGGAACGTGCAAAGATGGATGATGCAGAAGTTGGACACTTTGTTAAAAGGCTGAGAAATCTCATGGATGAAATAGGTAAATGATTATCTCGGTTGGGAAGTTTGTTCTAGACTGCCTGTACTGAGACATTTAGAAATGCTGCAGGAGGGGAAGGATGCTAGCCCCAGCAGGTTATCCGTTTAGGAGTAGCTTCCCAAATGGCTCCAGCTTATGCCTGAAACAAGGTGCGATTGGAACTAAATACAAACTATCCTGCTGCCACTCCAAGGGCAAGATGCATTTCAGTACTGCCTTTTCCATGTTGAATAGCAGCACAGACACATGCATATAATAAGTACCTGCTATAACAAAGCATTCTATATACAGTTCTGTGTAATCCTTGGGACACAGTGCTAGACAGATTGAGCAATGTTGGTTGCCCCACTTTTAATACACACTCTCAAGCGCTCATGATATGGGGATGTCCTAAGAACATGGGTTTGTTCTCTCAATGGATTTGTTGAATGTCAGGGGTTTTGTAGCTACAACTCCCCCTGCTTTTTTTTTTTCCTCCCCAAAAGGAATATGGACTTCTGCAATTGATTTTCTTCCCCTATTTATGAATTATTCCACTAGAGAGGAATACCAACGTGAAATCTAAAATACTAATCAGAACTGCAGTAATTAAAAACCAAACAACAATGTAGAGAGAATGACCCTGTCTCATAAACCACAGCAGCAGCTGGGGCCGGGGTAGTTAACAGCACAGAACTAGCACATGCCTGAAGTCTGCTTCCAGCTCCCTGAGTATTTAAAAAGGTATCTTATCAAGCAGCTAACCTCCAGGTACCTCAGGTTCCACAACTATGAGGTGACCACAGTGTTTATCAAGTTCAGGAGCCTTAGCTAACAAAAGCACTAGAAAAGCTAATCCTTCTAACAGTGACTGGAGATGATGTCTTTGTTTTGACTGTTTAACTGCAATAGCTGCATATTCGTATCATAAATTTGCAAGGAGACAATTGATCCTGTTTTGTGTTGCAGTACTTTGTATTTGCATGCTGCTTTGCCTGTAAGATGGTTTTGCATTCTTCTTACAAAGAAGAGAGAAGTGTGAAAAGACACAGTTTCTACTATTTAGAGACAGAAAGTTTGTGGCAGAAGAAAATGAATTCTTGAACAATTTTGGAGAACTACTGAAAACTTTAGAATTTAAGCATGTTAAATTCCAGAAGTGAGTGGAACAAAACTTCTGGAACAAAACTATGTAATCTGTATTGTCTTCTCTAGCTGCCCTGCCTGTACCCACAATTGCTGCAATAGATGGCTACGCATTGGGTGGTGGACTAGAACTGGCGTTAGCTTGTGACCTTCGAGTAGCAGGTTTGTGTGTTGGTTAATACAGGATTCTTCTTGTAATCAGTGACTGTATTTTAAAGAGAACTTGCATGATAGCTGACTATTAATGGAATCCAGCAGGCTAAGAGAGGAACTTACACAGTTCAGGAAACGAGTAGGCATTTGTCCAGAAATTGTGACATTTAGTTACTATTCCGTGCTTAAAAACTAAAGCCTATTTTTAGACAAGATTAAGATTCCTTCAGAAAACTATTTATTGGTAGAATTATATAGTTATTATCATGTAATATTGGATTAGCACTCTGGCTAGATCTGATCTTCTCTACTTAAAGCAGCTTGGAGTGGAAGCCTGCCGCCTTCTGTTTCCATTCTTCCGTCCATTACATTTCATCTAGGATGGACCCAAGGTTCATTTTTCTAGATAAAATTGATACATTAGGGGTCAGCAGCCTTACTACACGTCCCTCATCTGACTTGAGATGGACATTGATTAAGCACTGCAGTATTCAGACTTTCCAGCTGCTTGGAGAAATGGAGTTCCAGTTCAGTATTGGCAGTTTGTAGTTTTATTAATCAGTTCAGTATGGAAAATTTGTAGTTACACAGATCAAAAAGTAACTCAACCCTGGTTTGTTTTTTTTTTAATAGCTTCATCAGCTAAAATGGGCCTTATTGAGACAACAAGAGGGCTTCTTCCTGGAGCAGGTAACCATTAAATCTTCAGTCTCTTTCTTTCTCAGCTGTATAGTAAATATTTTGCCATTAGAGCACTTGAAGTGTTTTGAATATAAATTAGTAGCATCTTACAGTGACCCAAGAGAGCTATGAATCCAGAGTTCTGTTCCAAGCCCTTTCTCAGACTTGCTATGAATTTAGGAAATTCCCTTTATACACTTTTCCTGTTGATCAAAATCCTCAAAAGGATGCTGAAGCCTTTCAGATGCCTTGCAAAAAGTTGACATATTCAGCTAGTAGTTATTAAAGGAACACATGATCCCTTTATTTTTCAAACCTCCTTGTTATATAAGGAGACAAAATCCTATTGGTTTTTGGGCATTTCGCAGAAATGGAAAATGGTGTTTTTGCTGTTGTCATAAGGTGGAACCCAGCGCCTGCCTAGATGTGTTGGAATAGGCCTTGCAAAGGAACTCATTTTCACTGGTAGACAGATTGATGGACAACAAGCCGCCTCAATGGGATTAGTAAATCACACAGTGCCACAAAACAGTGAGGGAGATGCAGCTTACCAGAGAGCATTAACATTGGCTAAAGAAATCCTTCCTCAGGTAAGTGTACTATTAATGTGGTTAACATAAAGAAGGCATTTCTGCTTCCCTTAAGAGAGAGCAAACAGCTGAAGTTCCTTTCTATGAAATATTAAAGTCTTGGTTCCTGATGTTTAAGGATTGTAACTCTGTCCTGTTTTTGTAATGCAATTTCTGTGGGAACAAGCGTTAACATCCAGCTGCTTAACCCATAGGACAGTTTTACCTCCCAGCTTCGGTTATGCAGACATGCAGGACACTGAAACCCTGTACCGTGTACATCTGTTAAGTGTAGATAACGCCAATTTGGTTTTAAAAAACACTTATTAACTTACTGCAAATTTCTGTAGACTAAAAGGTCATTTGGAGGTAGGATAAACTACACTATTATGAACTGATGTGGCTTTAATTACTTTTAAATGTTTGTTGTGGCTTGTTTTATTTCTTCATAAAGGCTCCATTTGCTGTGAAAATGGGAAAACTGGCAATAAACAGAGGAATGGAGGTAATTTTTTTTTTTTTACATACTGAGGTAAATGAAGTAGACAGCTCTAAAATTACTACAGTAAAAATGTTTAGAACAGATGAGTTATAATCCTTGTTTAGACAAGGCATTTAAAGCCATTTCAGGGGTTTTAAAGATTTTCTTTAAAGACAAAATTAATATGGCAGAATTTTTTTTCTACAGATGCTAGCACTGTAGCTCTAATACAGGAGTGAATGTCACTCGCTGCAAGTGAACGTTTATTGATTTGAGGGCTATGAAGCAGTTTTGAGGGTTACACGTCAGACAATTCTCACTCCTTCCCTCTCATCCCCAGGTTGACATTGCGTCAGGGATGGCTATTGAGGGGATGTGTTATGCCCAGGTAGGTCACCTTCAGAATACATTCCTGAAAGGAACAACCATACATTTTCTAAAGCCAGGTATTCACAGCATCCTCTTGTATTTTCCTCTCTATAAGGGAACACTTAACAGCTAAATCTAAGGCTTTGAGAACATATTTGAGTGCAGTTCCAGATATCTATTTCAGAATATTAATTGTTGTGTCATGCATAGCTGTCTCTCTAAGCCCTTAAATACCTTTCTAAAGTAACTGTATATTCTTAGTTTCAATAATGTCAATTATAGGATGAGCTTCATGAATGGGTTTAGTTTTAATAAATTAAAAACCAGATTCCTCCTGTAGTCACTTTTTCTGACAAGTTTTGAGAGCATGCTCCTTTCTCAGCTAACTGAACAGTGTGCCTCTGTGTATTTTAAGATGGTAAAGTATTAAATTTATGGAAAATTGTTTTCCTGTATAGTTCTATGGTCTAGATGCTTTGCTTGTGATTTACACTATAACCTAGTCTCTTTATTTTCCTAATCGCAAAACGTGGAAGGTGGGACTCAATGTATCATTGAAAGAAAAGCAATCTTAGTCTTAGACCACTACTGCCAAATTAGTCAGTACTTAAAAACACATCAGACTTGTCAATGAAAAACATACCACTTTTTTTTTTTTTAAATGTAGAATATTCCCACAAGAGACCGTCAGGAAGGGATGGCTGCCTTCAGGGAGAAACGACCACCTCAGTTTATCGGCAAATAATGCTTCCTAGTTTCCCCTTGATTTTTTGAAGGTAAAGGAGGAATGAAGAGGATTGGGATTGATTTTATGACTGCATTCTGTGTATTCAGCTCCTTGCTTTGGACTGCATTTCTGAATACTCCACCAGATCATTTTGCTGCAAGAATTCCCAAATAAAGATTTAACTTTGTACAGCTGATCTTTTTAAAGAGCACACATTTTAAGCCAGTCTTAAGTTAGTGGTTATGGTTCTCAAACAGATGTCAAGTAAGGAGTATGGAGCAGCTTTGGTTCACCGTAAGCAAATTAAAAAAAAAAAAGGCAGAAAACATGCTGCATGTAAACATTGATAGGAAAAGAAAAAAAAAAATCAGTCTGAAGTCAACCTATAAAAAGAAAAGCTTCCTAAGCTTGCTTGCTGTTATCAGTGCTCTTCCAACTAATCAAGACAGAACTAGCAGTATTAACATAGAGCAACGGTGTTTCACCCCAGATCTGTCATGAATAGTGCAAAACACTGAGCTAGCGCTCCAGCCAACTGAACTTATGTCTCTGGTTATCGGTGCGTGAGAAAATGCAAGGCCTGTATGTGCAAGTATATATGGCCACTATATCAGCCTATGCCAGGCATCTCAAGCATGTCACCTCTCTCCCACCACCTACTGTCCTCTGTTGTCTGACTGGAAGTTATTTTCTCCCTCTGCCTTAGAGGTTCTCCAGCATTGAGATGTGCCACACAATCTAGCTCTACAGCTTCTTACTTCCCTAGACTGGGGCTTTCAAGCAAAATTGAGTAGTATAGTTAGAGAAATGTATTTTTAGTAATTAGTTTATAGGTTATCAAAATAAACTTACAAAATGTGGGTTACCACATTGGAACTGGGCATCACTTCATGCTATGATAGTCTCGAAGCACACCTCAATTTCACTTGTGTGAAAAGTTAACCAAACAATTCTGTGGGTGAGGTAACCTTATCAGATTATACATGAACAAATTTCCTATATAAAGATCTGCAAAGGTAAAAGCAGTCATGATCTTCAGCCTTCACAAAAAGAGATGGCAAATGCCACAGGTGAAACCCAAGAGTTCAAAAGTTGCTTCCAGAATTATTCTACCCTGGCAGGAACGCCTAAAGCTGTACAGGAATGTGAAGAGACCTTTCTGTAACCTTTAAGTAAACTTAGTGGATTTATACCTTGTAGACATTCAAACTTTTCAGCTTAATTCTAATCACTCTTTGTTTGCCTGAAGCACGTGGGAACAAAACAAGAAGGGTATGGAAAATCATTTAGAATCTCTGTGCTTGCTGGTTGCAGAACTTTGTGAAGTTCTTCACCATCTGGACTGATGCCAGAATCACATTCATTTTATGCTGCATGTAGTAGCAGATTTCAGCCCCCTCCCCCCAGTTTTAGTTAAGATGCTTCAGCAAGTTCTCCTGTTACTAGGAAAAAACAGTACTGTATGGAGAGTTGTCATCTTTATTTTAAAATCTTGTCGCAATTATTTATATTCATTCTATTAACACCAATTTTGACAGGTTTTGTGTTCCATTTCATGTAACGGAAATTTTGTAGCAGAAGTACTACAGCAGACATCTCAGAAGGGTGGGTGGTGGGTACAGGCCTGCAGGCCATTTTTCATTTTTTAAACCACCTTCATAATTCAAAGCTACAACCGATTTAATTTCTTTTCAAATCAAGAAAACTGTATATAACCAGATACACACATGAAAATGATGCTAGCCAAATTATACCTTTGTACAAAAAGCAATTACACAACATTGATTAAATCACTGGATCAGTACCTTTTGAAGCAGCTGAAATACACAGTAACTAGATTATTGAAGATTAGAGGTGATATTTTTATTTGAAGGATGGGAGTTGGGAGAGGGAAGAAGTTAAAGTTCTTCATGGTCATCATGAAGAAACCATTCCTGCAAGTGAGCTACCAGACATGAGTTTTCTTTTTAAACTCAATTACCAATATATTGACAGAAGAATTTATGCGTATCACTCTGTTGCCATGGAAATATGAGATACTAAATAAACAAAACCAATACCTGAAATAAAACTGAATTTGCACGGACATGCAGTTTGCTTCCATCACTTGTATTTTATCAGGCATCTGTATGCTGTGCAATACATTTCATTCAACACATCATTTGAAACCCACAGGTAACCAAGAAAGAAGTTGTTACAATTAGCATCTTTATGTAATCATTTCACACTCCACAAAACAGTGAAATTGACACAGGGCTTACACAGAACATTGGGTGATATTTTGCACTGTGATGACTTGGAAATATAATTCACTGCACAATACTGACAGAATATTTACAGAAAACAGAGCAATCATTAGTCTCTTATAAATAAGGTGACCAAAGATCCTGGGCCTCCTATCAAGACATGCAATCCCCTTCACGAATGAAAACAAGTCAGTATTTGCTCTAAGGAGCCTTCTTTCCCTCTCAGTATTCTAAAAACGGAAGATATCACACACAACCAAAAGTAGTCAAACAACAACAAAACCCCCTTTTGTTATCAAGTTTAAAATCTCAAGCTTAGTTAATCCTTTTAGTACTGTGTCTCCTTTTAATCCTGTTTCTATTGCTTTACTTTAGCAGGTTTCCCCTCTCCCTGATGCAACGCCCATCCCCACCTTACTAAGAGTAGGGAGGACTCAGGAGAGCTGAACTGCAAAAGGCATTGTTCTAGCAGTAAGGAAAACAAAAGAACACAGCTTGCAGGCAAAAGGAAAAGGAAGTTGAAGACCCCACTTGTGTTTAAAAAGGTTTTGAGACAATGGACATTTTGGCCGCCTTAGTTACAAGTCTCATTGTAACCTGCATGCATGTAGTTTTGTTTTAACAAATCTGTAAAAATGTTGAATCTCACAAGCACACACAGTTCTATTCAAACACCAAACTGGTAAACAGTGTTATGAACAGCAATCATAGGGATGAAATAACTTTCTCTCCCAGAAGTCACAAAAGAAGATATTCCTAGAAGTCTTTTTTTCAGATGTGCATATTGATCTGTACAAGTCCCATCTCTTTGTAGCCAGCAGTAATCCTACAGGTATGACCAGCTCAAGCAGTGACCCTTTACAAGTTGCATATGCGGTTGCCATTAAAGTTGACATTCACCAAAGGTGAACAGTACATGGTTCTGGGTACCACAATTATTGGCAAATCACTTTAATGGTTACCACTATATTACAAGTTACTCCAACTACACACACATCGGAAAGGATTATTACGTAGACAATACTTTACACTCCTATACCTGCAGCTTTCAGTTTGATTTATTTTGTTGCTGTTTTCTACATGGAGGTGGTCTCCCATGACGCATAATGTGTTTTTCCAAACTATCCAGGATGGCAATAGCAATCCTTTGGACGTGAGGATCAGTCTGGACGTTTTCCTTGATGTTGTATAAGTGCTGTAAACCACCTTCTTCAATTAACATGCTGCAGTACCTGGCAGCTGTAGTAAGATTAAAAAAAGGAAATTAAAAAAAAAAATGCATCTAGGATAAATGTAGCAGATACTGTAAACACTGATTCAAATCCACTTCCATCTCCTAGACCAGGCAGCATTTAGGACCCGCCCCGAAGCGTCTAGAGAAGTGCATTTGTACTTTAGCAAGTGACAGCAGAACAACAGAGTTGTCTGGACAGGACTACGATTGTAATCAGGCCTGTTTCTGTGTCTATCTTAGCTGACTGGAAAGTGCCTTGTAATATGCACAGCATTCTCTCTCTCCCCTTGCCTCTTCTACAGGCACTTTAAGTGCACATATATAAATTTTAAGAAATGGGAATCAGAAGTACTATAGTATCTATGAGTACCCAGGTAAAAATATCACCTTTGCCAAAAACCTTGGTACAGAACAGTTACCAAAAAATGGTATCAGGTCTACCACATCATTTGCACAGGCTTGTAGAGTGAATAGGAACTAGTTCCTTCGAAAACAGTTTGCCAAATACTATTGACGGTGGCCTTTAGCTAGTTATAAGTTGCTATGAATGCCTTTTCAGGGATAAAATTATACTTTTCTTTCCACTTTCATTATTGATTTTAAAAAGTTGAAAGCACGCCTACATCAGCTCCAGTATTATTATGTGCAGGGACCAGCTATTAAAAGAGCTGTATGTTTCATGTAACATGCAAGTTTCAGAAGTAGTTACAAAAAGGGCAGGACAACTGTAATGCAATCCACAGAGCATTACCTCAGATGTGCCCAATTTCACCATTCACCTCGGTGAAACAACACCCGAGTTGTTTAAATGCTATCATGAAGCATTTCACTGGAGATCACATTTACTGCAGTGCTACTAATATTTTAGTTAAGTTAGCTCATTGTGGTTGATATGATACAGAGAAACAGCAAAAGGAGAAAAAAATAATCAAGAAAAATCAAGCCCATTCATTCCAGACTACTTTTCACCCTCATCTGAAAGAGATCATCTCCTCTCCAGGACAAAAAGCCTTCTTGGTGCCAAGCACCAAAAACTTAAGATTTTCCCCCCAGACAGATCTCCATATTTCAGAATTAACCTACTCTGAGGGAAAATGTGTTTATTATATTTGCTACCAAACATTTCGTTTCTCTGCAACTTTGTCCAGAAGCTTCTGGCATCAACTACTATCAGAACTAAACTTCAGGAATACTGTCTTGATCTCAAATCAGGAGTATGTCATCCAAGTATTTCCAGCCTCTCCATTCTACAGAACAGTTACTCACTGTCAATACAAACCTCTGTGGCACGCTGAAAGCCCGGAAGTTCGGGCAGCACAAAATAAACACTAAAAATACATAGAAAAAATAGGACCATACTAAGTTAACAGGGCTGAGGCACAAAGAGGGGGAGAAAGCTTGCTTTAATTTCATTAATACAGAATTACAGGGTCTTAATCAAAAACTGTTATCCAGAGTCTGACCAGTAAAACAACTTTGTCAGAACAGTCCTACTTCAACATGGGAAAAGTCCTCACAGATCTCTGGACAGTGTACCCTGGGAACAGTATCTCATTACAGTTACAAGCTCTTTATAGAGTAGGAAAACAGTATTTTATGTGTAATTATATGTTATGCCATGTTATTGTTTGGTCCTGAATAGATATCTTTTCACTGTAGAAATAGTGATTTATGGGATAGGGATAAACAAGCACAGATAAACTGCTGTCAAGAAGATTAAAAAACTGGCACAGAAAATACTTTTAATACTTTAGAGGAAAGCTGCTTTATATCTGGTAGAAGTTAATGACAATACACACATTCACATCATACAAATTTATGTCAAAAAAACCAAACAAACAAAAGCATTAAAAGCCAGGAAGGTTTGTCCAGTCTTACATTTATGTATGCCCAGGGGATTTTATTTCCTTTCCCAACACTTGTGCATTTCATCACATGCTCTTAAATCATTTTACAAACAAGACATTGGTGTTCTCATTTTGCAGATGGGAAAGACAGATTACGAAACTGACCTTCTTGTCACAGCAAGTATTGCAAAAAAGGCGATTAGAGATGAGGATTACCTAAAACGTCTGTTCTTACAGTAAGAGATAGCTACCTGCTACAATCATGGTTCCTAATTTAGAAGAAATTTGTTGCCCATTATTAATATTTATGTTTCTGAATAAAAACACCTGTGCAAGCCAAAAATATAGTTATCTTAACACATGTCCACCTTTTGGAATTAATACTGTGCATGTAACAGTAAAATTCCAGTAAATAAAAGGCCATAAAGAAGTTTTATTACTCTCTCTTCCTGCCCCATTTAGTCAAAGCCTAAATGTAGTTTCTCCAGAGGATTAGGAGTGAATACTCTAGGAACTCTTATTTTTCCCACTTCACACTAGTGAATGATATACTAAGAAATAAGAATTTTAAGGGTAATATTATCTTAATACATACGATTTTTGCTGCAGACGTGCTGCATGGCCCACACTGCCCATAACTGGACACCAGGTGTCATGAAACAGCCAAGTAGCGGAAAAAATGGATTGAAAGACCTATAAAAAAAAAGGAGAGGAACAGCAACTCACTTTACTACTAGATATTATTACTTCAGAGGTCACATGTTGTCTACTCATTCAGCTACGGGTTTAACTAGGAGAGACACTTGATAAGCTGGAGTTTTACATGCAGCAGGCAAGCCTTTTAACGTTTAAGACAATTACCAGCAAAAATCATGTAAGGTGAATATGTGGTATGCTTTTACCATAGCATTTGGATGCCTCCTGCTCCTTAAAACCAGGAGTAAAAACAGTGGAAATTATAAGGATTAGATGGACAATAATTATCTAATTGTACTTTTTGGCCTCAAGCTTCTTTATCTAGGACAGACAGTGCTAACCTAGTGCTAGCCAATACAACCTATACAACTGCAATACAACTGCAAGTCTTTTAGACATGCAGTTGAATACCTTTAATAGAAAAGCAAGCAGAACAACATATTTTTCTTTTACGGGAGTCCCTAACCTTCTTTGGTCACAAAGGGAAAATTAACACGCTGTGTATTTTAAGCCGATAGGTGTTCTTCCACTGGACAAAACCATGTCTGGCTAGCAGCTCACTCTGCTTTGGGCACAAGTTTTAAATCTAATTCAGTTTATTTTCCAGACTCTAAATCAAGACAATAGTTACCTGTAAGCCACCATCTCACATTCCGGGGTCGGCCAATTCAAAATTGCAGAATGCTGCAAAATACAGAACCAAGAACACTCATTGTTAAATACAAACATTGAAAAAAATATTAAAGAGTATGATAAAATTCACCATCATTTCTGTACCAGCTGTTCAAGGAGAGATGTCCTCTGACTGCGACTTAATGTCCAGGCCTGCTCTCCTCGAGATATCAAATGAGCAATAATCCCTGCTGCAAAGTAGCTAACTTCCACCTCCACACTGTGCAATAATTTACTGATGTGGTCTATAAAGTCCTTCCACATTAATTCAGAATGCAGTTCTTTAACTTCAGCTATGTTATTCTGGAGTGGGGGGGAAAAGAAAAAAAGAGAAACAGAAAGAATACAATATGAGGGAGATAAACATATAAACTTGAACTACATTGTATAAGTAAACACATAGAAACACCAGGATGAGTTCTTCATATATCCAGGTGACCATCAGATGCCAAAATACTACTTTTGCTTTTGAAAACTTTTCCACTCTAAAGCAGAAATTTGCCTCAAAACAAAGAGACTTTCTCGTATAAGTTATTTCAGGCCATTAGCATGCAGATTATGCTAAATTAAAGGCTAGTTTTAACATTCTCAAACACACTCAATTTCAGTAAACTTCAGCAGTGCACAATTCTGAATTCCATTGATTTTCAACCAACTTTTTGCATGTGGACTCATCTGAAGACTCACTCACTGCCCTTTCTTAAAAGCTCTTTTTGTTTACTGTAACCATCAATTTCAATATAACTAGTGCTTTTGGAGAATTGGTAAAACAGTCCAAAACAATGTCAGTTGTGAATAATGCACACTACAAAGATTAAAGAACATCATAAAAATATTAGGCAAGTTTTCAGATTAACATGGGATAAAAAAAATCAAAATTTAAAAGTACGTATTTAGAGCTCTTTTTTTCTTTTTTCTTTTTTTGTTCATCTCACCAGAAGTCCAAGAACTTTCTGTTGAATGGATGATTCAGACGGAAAAGACTATGGAAAAAAGAAACAAACTATAGGTAACCATTTATGCTTATTATTGAAACAATGTTAATTATAAACCTATTTTGATAATCCACCACCAAAACTGTACTCCTCACCTCTAAGACTCTCATGAAAAGTTCTAGCCCTTGATTCTCAATGAAGTGCCGACATGTTGTTGGAGATTCATCAGTGAGGTTCCAAAGTGCACTCAATGTGAACTTGAGAGTAGTATCTACAAGATTCTGATTTGTTTTCTGTTTAACTATTTGTAGAAGTTGCTGGGGAAAAAAAAAAAATCCAAAAATCCCAGTTATGATGGCATACAAAATGTATTATCTCCTCTGCTTCTTTCTGCACTGACTGGGGTAATGCATAGCTATCATTTATATGCAGAGTAAAGATCTACATGTTTAGGGTCAAACTATACAAAATAAAATGGCTGTTAAACTTTTTACCTCCCCTTTGGACATGGCTGCCTGCTAGAGGACTTCCTTTGTTTCCACCATAATTACACGTGTAGTACTATTACAGATGGCACAAACACATCCACGGGACTCTGGACCACACGTGAACACTGACAGCGCTAACCATTTACCTCAAATATTCTCTTTCTGAGCATCTTTCATGTTATACAATGGATTCCAAATCAAGAGATGTCTTGCTGTTTTACTTTGTATTAACTGTGTCAAGTTTTTCCACTTTGGCTTCTTTTCATCTATGCTAGTATGTCTCATTGCCACTGTCTCTGATATTATCCGTAACAAATTCTCTAGGTTTTTCTCTTCTAAAGAGCTTTCAAATGAATACAGGTTAATATGTTCTTAGAATTCTATCTACTTAGGTTTATTTTGTATCATTAGGAATACTGTTAGCATGAATAGCTGGAGAAGATGGTATTTTTGACTGTCAGGAAAGTATCTGACTTACCCTAACGATGAAGAGCTCTGCGCCAAGTTGAGCTGTTTGTTCTGTTGAAAGCTGTAAAGAAACAAAACCGTATCAACGTTTTTTTAGACTTTAGAAATATTATTCTATCACCTCAAAGCTTAAATTTCATACCTTTGCAGCAAGAATGGAAATTATGGCTACAGCCATCCTTTGCATGTTTTGATCTTCATGATTACACAGCCACTGCATAACAAGTTTGGCTGCTTCAAACCTGGAAGTTAAAAATAAATTTAGTTTTCAGAAGTCTCGTAAGGCTTAGTAAAAGAAAAACGTACACAGACAACACATCAGATAGAAATGCATGCAAGACAAAATAAACTAGAAGAAGTTCCCCCTGTACTCGGCACTGGTGAGGCCGCCCCTGGAATACTGTGTCCAGTTTTGGGCCCCTCAATACAAGAAAGACATTGAGGTGCTGGCGTGTGTCCAGAGAAGGGCAACGAAGCTGGTGAAGGGTCTGGAGCACAGGCCTTATGAGGAGCGGCTGAGGGAACTGGGGTTGTTAAGCTTAGAGAAGAGGAGGCTGAGGGGAGACCTTCTTGTTCTCTACAACTACCTGAAAGGAGGTTGTAGTGAGGTGGGTGTTGGTCTCTTCTCCCAAGTAGCTAGCGATAGGACAAGAGGAGATGGGCTCAAGCTGCGTCAGGGGAGGTTTAGATTGGATTAGGAAAAATTTCTTCACAGAAAGGGTAGTCAAGCATTGGAACAGGCTGCCCAGAGAGGTGGTGGAGTCACCATCCCCGGAAGTGTTCAAAACACGGTTAGATGTGGCACTTTGGGATATGCTTTAGTGGGCATGGTGGTGTTGGGTTGATGGCTGGACTGATGATCTTAGAGGTCCTTTCCAATCTTAATGATTCCTAGTTTTTACTTTCATTATAAATGATCCAGCCACCAAGCCAGGAAACATGAAATTGCTACTCTACCCTTAATTGGTTTAGTGATGGACTTGGTAGTGTTAGGTTAATGGTTGGACTGGATGATCTTAAAGGTCTTTTCCAACCTAAATGATTCTATGATTCTAAGTATGGTTCGTACCAAAAAAAAGTAGAAATACACAGTGAAGTTACAGGTATTGCATGAGCCTCGGTCAGCTTTGAGTTGTTTGCTTAGGGTCTTTTACTTCTAATTATATATCAAAGTGCACAGGAATTGCTTCCAAAGAGGGAAGAAAAATTTGGCACAATCTTCTGAAACATCAGACCAACATGCTTCAAAGCATTTGGACAAAACATTTAAGTAGAAAAATCTCTGCAAAAAGCAATCCCATAGTTCCCCAGAGAAACCCTGACGTAAGTTACACACAATTAGTGATAGACCCACCCAGGTGAAGTAAAAAATACTTGTATACCAAAGGATTTTTTTCAGACCTATATTCAATTGTGAATTACAGGCCCAAAATAATATAGGCCAGACAAATTCAGCACACTGTAATGATTTAAACTGAGCAAAACTGAGACCAGAAACAAACCTTCTGAAGGAGGAGACAACAAAGAAAAATACTCTGAAATGCTACAACACATTTTAAATGACGTATAAAACTTGCCTGTTAAATGGAACATCCTGAAGGATTCTGTCACTGCACAGTGAAAGAAGGCAATTCTTTTGCAGCTATGAGAAATTAAAAAAATTACTTCAGAGACATATATATTTCAGAATACTTTCTTGCTATGGATCATTAAACATATTTCCATGAGGTCATGAGATATGGAGAAAATTTTTGTAAGATCCACGAGATGGGAAATCCTACAGAAAATAAAGAAATTTCATCTTTTACCTGTTGATGATTTGGGAAGTGTTCCATGGCCTTCAGGAGCAAGTGAGTGACATCAGCCAGAAGCCGCACAGGCATGCCTGCTGCTAAATCTTGCTTGGTTAGGTTAAAGACACATGCACTTGCTGCTAACTGCACAGGCAAGTTCAGGGGGTGATTTCTCATTCCAATAACCACAAGCTGAAATGCAAGAGTTTTGCCCAAGTTAGTCACATGTTTGTGCACACACCCCAAGAGCAATCCACTATTGCTTGAGGCCACAACAACTCATAGGACCCAATTTCTCCCTCCCTTTTACTTAAGTGAAAAATCCATCTGGTGTGATTTTCATTCTCAGGAAGCACATTTCCTTCTGCTCAGTGATTCAAAGCTGACAACTTCTGTTTCTCCAAGTCCTTTTGCACTGGTTGCAGCAGTCTCTCAAAGGAGATGCTGCATGGAATGAAAGATTCCTAGAAAGATCCAAGGTTTGCTCTACACACTGGGATAAAAATCACCAAACTGTTTCAGAGATGAATGAGCTAGGACAGACTTTCTGCAGTGTAATGGTAATGATGTAGTGGCTTGTTGTTTGGTGACTAGCCATTTCAGATTCACATCCTAAGCTGCTAGGTCAGGATATATTTTTCACACCTTCTTCCTGAATATTTTTGGCTATGTATGTTGACTGTGATGTTACCTAAAAAGATATTTTTCCTTGTTGATTATTGATTGCCAAAGTCTTTTTGATACCGAAGCCAACAAAATCAAGGTCACTTGTTCAACTTCGAAGAGGATAGGAAAAACAAAAATAATCTGTCCTACTGATGCTTCTTTTTACGATCACAGTGAAAATTAAACCATTTCTGGTGTTCTAGACATGGAAAGCCAATGCCTAGAATGGATTTCTATGGAAGTTTCTAGGATTTTCCAAGTTAGAGTCCAATATAAATAACGATATTTATTCACTTGCTATCATACTGGAAGGTGACAGTGGAGAGAAATATCACTGAATGCCTTCCTTATTATTACTGCTTTGTAAGCATCAGCAGAAGGCACTGTTGTACCTGGGGAATAAGACTAGACAGACCTTTGATTTGACCCAGTACAGGTATGTTGTAATGACAGAATTCAGCGTCTGAAGAAAATTTCATATCATATCCAAAATTACATGAAAAAATTATTTTAGAAGCTACTAAGTTTAGATACTATACATTAGTCCAGATCAATTTTCCCTAACATAAAACATGACAGGACATCTTCTACGTCACTGCTGTTTAAATTGTTCTTAATCTTTATCCAAGATTAAAATTTTTATCTTAAAAATAACAACCAAAAAATGTAAAAGCTTATAAAATAATTTGTACCAGGGTTTGGGGGGTGGGCTCAGTTTAAGGAACAATGCATGACAATCATCAAAACTATATTATTTTACCTTTAAAATTTCAGGCTTTGTTTTTTCCATTACATGTGTCAGGCTGAATAAATGAAAGAGTGCTTCTCTCACAAAGAAGGCCCGTTCACTGTAACGCTTCAGTGCTTCAGAAATCTGAGTTTCATTTGCTTCTCCTGACACCTATGAACAGAGAAATAAATCTTTAGTTCAAGATGTCATCATGGTACTTTAAAAATTTTGTTCTTAAGTGCAAAGCTGCAGTTTCAAAGGTGGTGATGTTTTTAGTCAAATCCTTCAGTAAGCAAATGATTACTTTATCTGGCCATATTAATCCAGAACTACACAATCTTCAAACATTCTTCATAAAGAAGAATCCACATTACAAGCCAAAATTAGGCTTCAGTCATGTCTTTAAGCAGAACTGTACAAAACCACTACGTAAAAGTATCACTTCATAACTAACAAAAGCTGCTTATGAAGCACCAAATGGCTAAAAGCACTATTTGTAACTGAATGCTCTGTCAAATGCAGCTGATAAACTGATGAAGATGGTATTTTGGCTATAATTTTTTGGCTCTTGATTCCAGCTCTGGCAATAAAAAAAAATATTTCCATTCTCTCTCTACATTGTTTCCTATAATCTGTATCTGTAGCAATAGCTTTCTAGCACCATATTAAAGAACTAACTTACTCATGCTCTCTGCAAAAGAAGTAATTTTTAAAACCAGACTTTAAATACATGTGAAAACTAAACAATGAGGTAGGTGAAGACTGCATTAGAAGCTATGAGCTTTTGACCAATACAACCTTAAATTCAGAATATTAAATCAGCAACTAGCTGCAAACCTTTCCACCTCCCAATCTGCTATATTTTCCACTTAAATATATTTTATCTACTTTATAACTGTAAATTGTATAGCTGTAGATGGTTTGTTCCTCAGTCCAACTATTTAATGAATCATTGCTGCAATCGCTGTTATTTAAAGTTCTTAGGGAAGCATGCAGAACTTGTTATACTTAATGTGTCACATAAGGGAAAGCAAATGTTCATAGATTGAAGTGTCATGTTTCATGCATCCTGTATTGTATAGAGCCAAATTTTTTGAAACTTGCTAGATCAGGAATATATGAAGAATTTCCACTTGGCTTCATGTTCTCAACTACAGTGTCTGCCTAGTGTTTAATATTTCAAGAATCTATAATCAAATTTCACAGGACTGCTGTAAAGACAGTAATATTTTACTTCTACTGTTTCCATGAGTGCTGTGTCCTGTTTATTATTTAGCAGTATCTAGACTAAGCAGCTGAATATTTCAATATAGTCACTAATGAATTTCAGGTCACACACAAAAAAAACCCAAACCCCAAAAAACCCCAATCACTGCCTACAGTCCCTTCTTGACAACTACGCCTTAAAAAAAAAAAAAAAAAAACCACCACCCACAAACTGCATTCTGCTAACTACACTGCTACAAGTCCATCATGATTTTCACATTACTAGAACCTTCTTCCTTCCTGCCTTTTCATAGCACAGTCATTTGTATGAAGTATGTATTCTAAATAACAAGGATTATATTGAATTATTTTATACCACATGAGGTATAATTTCCTGATGCTGAACATCAGTCATGCCAAATGGGAACTTCCTTTCTCCAACAATGGATTTCAACATTTATACACATCGCTATCAGCTGTGACAACTAAGTACTCAAGAGACTCAGCCATTAATAACTGTCAAAAGTTCCAGGAAAAAAAAAAATTATAAAATTGTGTAGCTGTGTTACCTCACTTGCCTATAACAAAAGCATTCTGAATTTTAAAACTTAAGTGCAAAACTCAACTTGCACAGGAGACAAACGAAACTATGGAAACATTATGCAAACTCTTCCTCATTCCCTCTGCAGTTTCCATCATCCTCATGGCACAGTAGGAAAAAAAAAAAAAACTCAGAGAGTCAAAGATGATATACCACTGACATGCCTAAAACATCTCTTTTTCTTCTTTAATTCTGACCCCTTCATAGCAGGGACAGGATAGGCTCATTCTCCAGTAAGTGCATGCATATTCTACAGAACATTCTTCATAAAGAAGAATCCACATTATAAGCCAAAATTAGGCTAGGCAAAATTAGTGCCAGGCACTAGAAGATAAATAAATACACTTCAGCAAACATCATCTCATCCTAAGGGGCTAGGGTAATTGAGGATTCGTTCAAGAAGAGGAAGTTTTTCGTCCTAAGTAATTACTTGTTACATGTTCATCACCAAAAGACCTTTCAAGGTGGGTAGAAATATTGTAATAGAAGTGGTGATGGAGTACAACAGCAGCTCAGCTATTAAGTTTTATTGTATCTGCTGTGTAATTATGCAAATTATACCTCCACCTCTTACATAGTGCTGCCTTATGCTAGATACTGTGCTGGAAACCAGAGAATATTATTCCAGTAAATGACTTCAGACTAGACAAAGTTCTGCTCTCTTAGATCCGATATGTTAAATTGGGATCTAAGGCTCACTGAAAAGGCACAGGAAATAAATGCTCCTCACAATAGTATTATGTAAATTTAGTAGTTTCTGTGCCAGAATTAAGTAGGAATTTGACATAAAGTCAGTAATTACAATTAACAGTTAAAAAATTAACCTACAGCTTCCTTCTGAAACACCCACATACACTTGTTACAAATGATTAGTTGTTTTCCCTGCACATTGTAATTTTTCAGTAAAATTAATTCCCCCACTTAACCTTTAGGTTTCCTTCTCCTGTTAGGAATTCTGAGTAGCCGGCATCAGTAGCTAGCAGTCCTACAAACTGCATTGTGGGCCGCTGCTGAATAAACGCTTCTACAGCTTTATCCGTAACATGCTTTCTTCCAGAAATGTCCAAAGACACAAGGTTAGGCAAGATATCTTTCTGTTCCAGTAAACGAAGTGCTATGTCTGATGTGAACTGTTTGTCATCTGAAATATCAAGGTGATTCAGGTATTTTAGTTCTCTTATAACATCCAGAATCTGGGTTGTGGTCATTTTCAAGCATTTCAGGTGGTGCATGGTCAAAGACTTGAGTCGGTCTTTGCAGGTGAGGAGTGCAGTTATGTCAGTGACAGAGGTGTTCGATATATCCAGACTTTCTAATCTAGGAAGTGAAGCAACATCTGCCAAGTCCTCATTGTAGAACAGAACATTGGTAATGCTCAATGCACGAAGCCCAGATAACTGACTGAAGCACCTCTCGTATGGGTCTTCCAAAGAAAGAGTTAGTGAGTTCAGCACAAGGCATTGCAGATTTTGTTGGATCCATTTATTGCTGCCAAGTCCACTTATAATGTCTGTGATTGTTATATCAGCATTCACCCCAGTAGCATCAAGTTCTACTAGCTTATGATGGCAGAATGCTTTCCGGAAAGCCACAGCAGAGATTTTCGCTTTCCGGATACAAGCTCGTTTCAAACGCATCTGGTTGCCTCGGAAGATGCCCACAGTTCCATCATTCAGAAGCCCTGTTGGAAAACAGCATTAATGTTTGGCTCCAGTGTTACAGAACACCACTTTTATTTTAAGAACCCAAAGGATATAAAGTGTTAACAAAGAAAACTAACTGCAAAGCAGTTTGTCTTGGATCATTATGCCATGATCCCAAGATTTTGTATTTGAGATTCCACTTTTAAAATTATGATCTCACTTTCGGAAAATGTGAAGTTTAAGAACAGGACAGATAAATTAAGATGTAGTATATACACATTACCTGTTTGGTTCAGAGCATGGAACATGCAGTAAATGAAATGTGGATATGATTCAAAAACATTCAGGCTGCTGCCTGGATTTTCTCACTGAACTGGCTAGAAATGTGCTAAAAACAGATTTTAAAAATTTCTGAAAGTTATTCTTCCCTGGTCACAGTTCCATTAACCTCAAGATAGTACCAGCAATCAATGACCAGTTCTCATCTTGCTTTAACTCAATTGAATAATTTAGCATTTCATCGAACTCATAAGTATGATCAATACACTAAACCGCTAATTAAGTTCTATATATCCCTCATGAGGAAGGTAGGAGTGTTGCTCAGAAACAAGCTGAATGTGAGAAGGAAACATAAAAAGTGATTCAAAGAGGAGAAAGAGGAGGACAAGGAGAGGGTGGGAAGGAGAGAAAGACTGCCATGAAAAAAGGAAATGCAACAATCTTGTTTATCTTTTTGCTCTGTAGCAAGAAGACTGCATAAATAGTCTCTTCTCTTGCAGCATACTGGCAACATCCTAACTGAAATAATACATTTAGTTCCACGCACAGGATTATCCAAAATGTATTGAGAACACCAAGATTTCTTATTTGTATCCTATCAGCAGAAGGATTACTGCTTTATAAAGCCATATGAGAAGGGTATGGTTGCACAAGCATACACACAAAGGGAGTAGGAAGAACATGTCCTTCTAGTTCCACTCCAGAGGGTTATATATGTCAACACTCCCATTTTTTATCTCCTATCTTCAAGCATACTGAACATAGAAAAGAAACTGAAAATGCAATATATTTGAGTAAAAACATCATTGCCACTACAGTTTGGATTTAAGTCACAAGCTAGTAATTGCCTCTGTGACAAAGTCAAATTAATATTAAGATTTGCAGACCTTTCTAAAGAGCAAATGGTTTAGGCATTTCTGACCAAGTAGTTGGGGCATTGCTCTTCTGCAGAGACAGCAAAAATACGGGGTGAAACAATTGGTACCCAACAGAAAAATTAAATGTAATAAATAATTTGTTTAAAGTAATGCTAAATTACTTCTTAATTTTTGCTAATCTTTTCATTTAAGGATCAAGATAGGCTTTCTCACTGGCCTACCTTAGCCACACCCTGTTTACCTGGCATGCACTTTTTTGACATCCTGCACTCTGACACAGTGTTTGTGATGTTTCGGTGTCTGGAACTGCCTTCATCACTACTAGCACTGGTAATAAGTCTCCGGTAATTCAGTTTCCTTGAATCTGCTTTCTTGGGACTACTCTGAATAATTACTTATCAGAAAGTAACGTATGTTGAAGAAGAGGTTTTCTGGGTTAGCTTGTTTTTTTTTTTTTTTTTTTTTTTTTTAAAGAACCATTCCTTCTATTACATCCGGCTAGAACAACTTGAGAAAACTAGAACACCAGTATTTGCACAATAAGACCAAATCAAACCTGCAGCTAGAGGATAGGGTGCTTGGTCTGTTTAAAGTAATTTTTCTAGTGTCATGTCTCATCTCTTAATAAAAGTCTCCAGAATCTCCAGGAATGGGTCTCCTGTCTCTTCTCTAGGGTAATCTGTACATTCACTCTTTTCATGCTAAGAAGCTCTTATTGACACAACATTTTCCTTTGTCATGCTTAAAGCAAGGAAAAGAGAGGGAAGCCCTCTCCTCAAAGATGTGCTGACAGAGAACATGATAGGCCAGTACCTAAAATGTAAGAACACCGCAATGTGGTTTTCACAGATGTTTACACTACTCTTGAAACTGACTGCTTTTGAGCAAGTAATTCGACTTCAGCAAAAGTGCCAAAAGAGATGAGAAACGATTTTAATGAAAATCATAAGATTATTTCCTAGTTTAATCACAAGGACACACAGTAAAGAAAATTCAATTAATTGCTCTGTGGGAGATACTGAAATATTTGAGTGCTGCTAGAAGTAGTAGAATCAAATAAATATTTTTGCAGAAGTGACTGAAAGAAGATCTATTAAAGAATATTTGATTAAAAGAACATTAAATTAAAATAATAAACCCAAGACAAAGGAGTTTCTATTTAGAACTATCTATATGGCAATGCAACATTCAGCTGAAGCTGTGGAAAAGCCAAAATAACAGAAATTCTCTATTAAGAGATTAAGGAATACAGTTTTAACAGCTGCAACCAGAAAACAGAAAATACACCAGAACTGCAGTGTCACATTCCAGTAAAATATTTGCACTGATGACCCACAAATAATTGTTTTTACCATGAAATGCCATTGTCTGCAGCAATCGATCAGCAACTTCTTGAGGAAACATTCCTGGCTCCTGCAAGCATAACGTTCCATCTTGCCTTTCTGTGCAAAACTTCTCTAGGTTGGCAGTCAGGAAATTCAAACAGATATCAAGTAAAGAATAAGGAGAAGCTTCCTCCTGTCACATGCAAAACACAACAAAACAAAGGAGATTTAGTCAGATCATTCTATGAATCCTCCATTCCTCTATAACGTTTTTAGGCAAATCATTCTTTTTTGTTAGTCTAATTTTCATTGGAACAGGCAAATACTACAAAAGGAGACACCCCCCTTAGAAGCACGTGTAAGTCAGGTCACATAATGAACGACTGGCCAAACTGACGGATAGCCTCCTCCCCGAGTCACCCCCAGAACCACATCCCGTCTGGTCTGTTGTGCTTGAGCCCTGCTTGCATTCACAGAGAAAGAAAAGTAATTGCTGATAAGATTATTTGAATTTATGAAGTCTACTGGGAATTAATCAACCAAGACAGACTGAAAGAAGATTTAAATAAACTTTTACTTCTTGATTTAAACTATTTATTTTAATCTTTCATTTAGGTCAACCCACATTTGAAGTCTACTACCAACCTACCTGAGAAATGGAGATAAATTTTATATGTTGTTCAGAGCAATTTTTGACACTGAGAAGGGCAACTAGAGCTTCAGATCAAAAAAGGAAACTCAGAAAGAACTATTATATTGCCGCACGAAATTTGGAATTAAAGTAACAACTATTGCAGTACTCCTTCTGATTATAGATACCCATTTCCTCCTTTTTATGCTAAGCACCTGGAATCATCTATAGCAGAACCCTTGGTACAAAGGACAAGGCAGAATATAAACTTGAACTTTTCCTTCAGAGTTTGAGATTGTACATTTATATATGAAAATTTCAAAGGTTTTTTTATTCAATGTCTAATAATAGCCTACTGTTTTCAGTCACACAGATTAATCAACATAAAGAATGACTCGCAGCACTGTGAATCATCCCCAGCACTACACAAAAGAAGGCCGAGTGACTGGTACATACTCCCCCAGACAATTTTGAAAATAACAGCATCAACTGCTGCCAGATCTCATCTGTAGGAAAAACTGTAGCTTGCCTTTTATACTAAAAGTTCTGGATAATGTCACCTTTCTTTCCTAGCTCATTTAACTTCTGTTCTGTTGCTTCATTTGCCTAATATGCTCATCACAGAAGTACAGAAACATATAAAAGGTTATATAGAAGAAATATAAAGAAAATGACAGAAGTAAGTCTTCTAAAATAAGGTGCATATATTTGAAGACCGGGAGGTACCACGTTGGGGCAAAGATGGAATGGAGCTTATCTTTAATGAATCATGTATTGACAACAATGAGAGACTGCAGTTTAACAGCTCCTGAAGACTTAAGTACAGGTTTGGGAACCAGAAACTCCGACTTATTCAAATACAAGCTCTTTCTGCAGCTTTTGACATGCAACTTTCATCTTTGACTTCATTTCACTAAGTGCTTAATTTATTTAAAGCTTGATTATTACAGTTTATTGTTGAAGAAACAGGAGTTATTTTGTGACACGACTTGCTCACATTACCAGAAAACAACAATTCTGGCTGCCTCCAATCTTAAGCTGATATGAGAAGGACAGACAGAATTTGGAACTGTTAACGTCTTTTGTTTCTTTATAATGTGCAACAATGTGCAACAATGCCTGAAATACTTCTAAAGAGAAAAACCAACTATTTTAAAATAGTACATATTTTGAATGCAAGGGGAAAATTTTTTTAACCTGAAATTAATACACACGCCCAGGACTTGTATGACAGCTGCAAATTCAAACAAAAATCAGAATCCTTACTCAAAGGCATATGAAAATTATTCCCACTGAAGCAAAGACATCCTCATCTACCATTAGATCCTGTGCTTCTAATTTGATGCTTAAGTATGACAAAACCAGAATACTGTCTCTCTTCATTCCTTCTGGCACTGTTCCATAATTTCTGCCAGAAAAGCTAAAACATTTTTATCTATCAGTGAGCAAACGCCAACGAGAATTTTTCGCTTTGCAGATTGGCCACTAGCATATGATTCAGAAAACTATTTTTTCAACCAGTACCTCGATCTGGCCAATCTGTAATTTGGAGGTATTGTTTTAATTTTTGTATAAAATAGTTACTTTAGAGATCCATACAGGACATGTCCATACAATAAAGGAACAAAATCCACAAGCAGGGATCAATTACACTTGCAAACAACACAGTATCACCTTTATTAACTCCACTTATACTAGTTATAGGAGACATTTGCAATGTTTCTTCAACTTGCTGCAAAAAGGCTGAAGAAACACAACAAAGGCTCCCTAGATAATCCGGGCAGATAGATACAGATAAGAGTGTTTTGCCTAATAAAGTCACTTGACAAGCATCATAAAAACAATTCCCTAGACTGTCAGCTACTGAAATAGAACAACTTGAATGCAGCCTGTAAACCTTTTATGTAAGCCAGCGGCATTCTTTTTCTCAACTTCTCTTTACTTAAGGAGAATATTGCCCAATTAAAGACCTCATAGTAAAAGTCTTCAGTTGTATTTAAGCCCTTACAAGGTTAGTACTTAAGTGGTTCCTTTCTCTAGCTATGCTTTTGAATGTCAACTTGAAAACAAACCTGGCATTTGTTTTCAGCTCATTTCACTTCCCGGTTCCTAATACTCTAATGAGATGCTGTAAATGTGTGTCAACCACTGTGCAGGATTTTTTTTAATTATTTAATAAAGATCATTCAGAAATATTTCAGTAGAACTTTTATTATGTATATTTGACTTTTTCATATCCATCTTAACTATCTGATACTTCCATGTAACCTCACAGTTTCTTTCATTCTATCAAATTAATTCAGTGGCCAGAAAATAAAAATAAATTCCCGAAAACACGGAATTATTCATTACATGATGCAAGTCTGTGTACTCTTACTAATATGTGTTTTAGCTAATGAAGACAATGTGACACATCTAAAAATCAACTAGCTTATGGAATAGTAAAAAGAGTAGAATAATTTCATTTAGATGGGCTTTTCAAGGCTTATTTCAATTAATTCTTTAAAAAAAAGATAACTTCATAAGTGCTTAATATAACCACGGCAAACAAACAAAAAAAGTGGCCAGGGGGTGAGAGGGGAGTAAACTGCATGGCTACTGGCATCTAACAGTAATCCAATACACCAGCGGACTGAAATGCAATACCAGCTTCAGTATGATGTTACCCAGTTCAGCCTGTAGGTCATACACCAGTGCATATGGGAAGGCTCTCACAAAGAACACTATCCTCCTCATTTTCTTTTAAAAACTCCTTGAATCAACTTTAAATATTGCTAGAATATATCTATCCTATATTTCAAAATGCAGTTAAAATAAAAAAGAGCTTAAGGGGACATCTTAAAGTACCTGGAATAAGCTAGAGAATCTTAAGCCCAACATTATGCCTAGATTAACTGGCTGAGTGCGAGTAAAAAAAACAAAACCCTGTTCCTTTGGGGAAGCATCACCAGGCAACCACCTGCTTACAAAACAATAACTAAAAAAGAGGTTTAACTGATGTTTTCCATCAGCAATTGCAATCTAACTTTGCACAGAAAGTAAATTCCACTGCTGTGTGGGCCTTTTTCTCTGTAGGTATTGTGATCCTACCAACTCCAGGCTGAAAGATTCAGTTCCTTCTGACTTTGTGTCTCAGACTCATTAAAAATCCAATCTTTTTTCCCATAGGTAGTTTTTTATTATTTTTCCCCCTCAATAAACCAGTATAAAACATTGGAAGGAGCCAGACTCGATGATCCTTATGGATCCCATCCAACTTGAGATATTCTATGATTAGAAGACAAATACCAACTTCAGCTCCAGCCGCTTCTGTGATGTCCTCCCCAATTTTTATACCCGATTGCAGATGCAGTATGGCAAAATCCAAATGTGTAAGGTTTCTGCATACCAGGCCCATCTGCTTTTTTTCTCTTTGAAATCTCAAAGGAGATGGGATACAGGATAAGGGACTTTTCAAATCATGGTTGTTATTTCTCTCAAAAAGTTAGCAGCAAATAAAAGGTAATTTAGAGTATTAATCTTTGATCTTGGACATACCATGTTTCTCACTGTTTTCCACCTCTCCACAGCCCCAGCACTTCACTTACTTTCTTAAAATGAACATTCTTAAAATGATCAAGAAATAGCAACTCAAGTAACGGTCATCAAAATTCTTCCGAGTGCTAATAAAGGAAGGGAAAGGCAGTGAAAAATAAACAGTTCAGTGATTTATGTTACGAGGAAAGCTTTATGATTATCCTACTTAAATTAAATGGAATGAAACAGGAGCAGGCAATTTGTTAACCAGACTCAAGGAAGGATTATGCTCAAAACTCAAATTTAACATTAACTATTCTGGCACAACAAGTGGGAACATACTGATTAAAGTTGCTAGTGATACAAAGTTGGCAGAGATCACGAGAGGTCTAAAATTAAATAGTACTACATTAAAACTACATAGTAAGGCCATGTATATCAAGATTAATATCAAGAAGTTCAGATATGAGTTCATCAATTAGAAATGACTGGAGAGAAGAACCTGAATGGGTTGCTTAACCACAAGAAAACAATGTGAGGCAGCCAAAGAAGGCATCAGGAAAAGCAGCAAGCAAAAATAAGGACGTATTATGTCATTTTCAAGACACTCTGAGATCTCATGGGGCTATTTATGTTAAGAGATACCTGCACCATTTCAGTTTGAACATAGCAGCTACTAGAATGCTCTGGGGAAAAAAACGTGTTGGGAGTAGGAAACAAAACCAGTTTTTCTTAGCCTGGCAGATCAAAAGGTGAGAGATATGAATGCTGCCTATAAATACAGCACAGTGAATACAAAGTATAGAAGGAAAAAAGCTATTAAGGTGAAGCACACTGCCAGCGCAGCAACAAAAGTACACAGAAATGACATGAATTAGAATTTTTGCCGTAAATTTAAATGTCAGTATGTAGCTCCCAAACATCACACAATGAAATTCCACCCTAGTCCACTGAATAAACAGCAGGCACAAAAGGTACCTACTTTTAAAATAAAAAACTTTATTAAGGGATTAAATGAAATTAGGCTTTCAATAACAAGGGATGAGACTAGATAA